GCTTCCGGCCCTCCTGCGCTTCCACGGGGTTTCGGCGGTCCTTCGCACAGCAGCTACTCCACCGCGTAACAGCCTCGCGTGCGGGCGCCTGCTCCTGCTGTCGCCGGCCGTCGCCGAGAAAGGCAGGACTTGGGATCAGCGGGCGGAAACACAAGAGCGCTTCTCGGCGAACCGGATTGTGAATTCCGGTGGACGAGCAAGAAAGTCAACCTGAGGCTTGATGCTTCCCGGAGAGCAAGAGGGGCTGCTCCGGGACAGCTGCAGTCCAACGCTTCGGTACTTGCCAAGCGCACAGGGCGAAGGTCTCTCCTGACCAACATCAGCCATCCCATCTCCATCGCGTACTGTGCCTACGACTGGGCGAGCGTCAAAGGTAGGGTGGCAGGTGTCGCTACTCATGCCGCCCGCCTGCAACGGGACCCCACCCACCTCTTCCCTAAAACCCAGCGGCTCAGCCTGGTGCCTAAGGGCCACTGCCTGTGGCAATAACCCGGGGTGCAAGGAGAGCCCCACCGGCGCAGGTCGCTCGGTCCGAACTTCCCCAGCAACGCGCACAAATCCATCCTCTTCTCGTTCCAGCACTGTGTAGGTTTACTGCTACACATTTAAGTTTGCCTGCGATTTCCAACATCTTTGCGTTTTGGTACGCTCCAAATAGGGTCTGGGTTGTTTTTTTTTTTTGGCTGCTGTAATACTGGGATCTATTGAAGAAACGAAGCGTGGATGGGAGCAGGGCAATGAGCAATATCTCTCTACAGTTTTCCTTTAGAAGAAAACACCCACTAATACTGTGTTTAAAATCGTTCCTATTTAGAAAAGGAAAACCAGCAGTCCATTGGAAAAAACCAGCATCTACCACCTAGGTGTCCCTACAGACAATGAGGAGGAACCAAAGCTTTGAAGGTCTCAGTGCTTCTTTATTCACCCAGGCATATTAGCTAGCTTCTCTCCCAGAATCTCAATGTGCCAAATCGGTGTGACTGACACTCAGAGCTCGCCAGTCTGTCAGACAATTATTTCGTTCCTGTGTGGAGGGGAAAAACAAACAAATTAAGCAGATGTTCAGACAGTTCAAGCAAATAAACAAAGTCACCAGCGTCAACAAAAAGGAACACGCACGTAAATGGGACTGCGGAGAACCGGCCTTGTTTGTGCTGGGGAGGGGGATGCTCTTCCGCGTGCCAAAAAAACTCCTTTTTTCCAACTTTCCACTAGCAGCGCTGACAAGGCGCATACGCACCCTTCACAGGCCCATCCCCCTGTGGGAGCTGCCACGAGTGCCGGCAGCGGGTGAACCGGGCGAGCTCACCAGAAGCGGGAACTGAGCGCAGCATCGCGGTGTAGGTGCACCCTCTGACGTACTAAGGGTCCAGCTGAGGGGGTCTGACACTCTGAAAGCTCGCCACCGCTGCCGCCGCCGCCAAAAACTACGCATTGCCCTGGACGTTTTTCTTGCGGCCGAAGCTCACCCTAAGGCAGGTCCTGCACGTGTCACGCCGCAGCAAGCGCTGCAGAACCACCTTCTCCCTCGTGGGCGTAAAGACACCTTTAGGCCACTCAACAGTGAAGCCAGAGCCAGCTGGGGCTCCCCTGCCGCTGTCGGACAGAGCGATGAAGACCCTCACATCCGGTTTTGTTAGTACAGAAGCAAGGGTATCCCCCTCAGTCAGCAGCGGTTACTGGGTTAGTCCAACGCGCGGCAGCGGTCAGAGCTCAGGGCGTCGCTAGCTCGTCCGACCATGAGAAACGGTGACTTAACAGGTAAAGAACAGGAAAGGGGACGTACCACACAGAGTTAGGCAAAAGGAGGGTTTGTATTAGTGGAAGCGTAACACCGATCAGACAGCTTTTAGAGACAGCTCCTGCACAGCCTCAGACACACCTGAGGTCGCGTGTAAAGGCCCCTGAGTGTACAGCAACTAAGACGGCTGGGCCCTCTGCAGTTACGGGGCTGAAGTCAAAAACACTTCATAACTGGGCTTGGAGAGTTCTTGTTTCTTTAGTGTTTAAAAGAACATAAGAATCCAGACGTTCCCTATCCAATGGAATAGAAGGTCCAAAGCCAGAGATTGCCTGGCATCATCATTAAGGTCCCTTCCAACCCAAACCAGTCTATGATTCCCTGGTTGAACTTAAGCACTTGCTTGAAATTAAGCTTAACCCACAGCGGCATCGCAGAATGATGCGTTAAGCACACGCCTCCAACACCTTACTGAGACGGGGTCTTACCCATCCCTAGGAGCGTGTTGGTTTATGATTCATTGTCCTCTTTTTTAATCCCAAACCCTACTAACGATATCTATTTTTGTAAGAGGATTGTAGGGCTCCTTACTTGAAAGTGATCTTCAGCAGCCTTGCCACCCATGTTAAGAACATTCAGAGAACTGGCACGCTTCATGCTGCAACCAGGACAGTGAACATGCAAGGATAAACCGATCAGAATGGCTGAAAACGAGCAGCTCTACAAACACAAGTATAACAACGAGCAACGCAGAGTTAAGGGAGTTTGAACAGCGCCCCAAAACTGATCCGAGGGGACACCCCTGAGGACAGCTACGTAACTCAGAACACTGTTACATGCCGTTCTACATTACAGGTAATACAAAACATTTACAGGCTCCTCAGAGCTTAAACATTTCAGGCAACGGATTAAATTTCAAAAAATTAAATTTCAACTCAAAATCTCAGCTTTTAAAGCACATCATATTATTACACTTAGTTTCAGTTTTTAATTAGCTGATTCTCAGTTTCAATTTTATGCAGCTTCTTACAAAAAGCACCAAAACACTCGGTTTAGGGAAAAAGCAGCGAGACATGAGTATGTTTGTCACACAGGCAGTGTCTGAGAAAAGCTACAACAAACATCAGTTTTGTACTTTCTGCCTCATCTGGGTATGCTTACAGAATCTATTTCAAAAAGCATTTTATAGTCTTTTACTTCTAAACACTTCAAAGTGAAGGGAAATCAGACGATTGCTGCTCTGAGCAGTGGTAACAACCATCCTAGAACTCGGTACCGAAAGCAACTGCTGAGGAAAAACATCCCCTACGCAGGAGCCGCTGACAGTGTCACTGCATTAGCCGAAACATCTGCTGGTGTTTGAGATGAGGATTAACGATTTACCTGTGTTTCTCAAACATACACAGAATCTAACAGACTTTACAGCGTGTCTAATGTAACCCAAGGTTAGCCTTAAGCTTCCCATCATCAGGGCCGCCTGATGTCCTTCATCCCAAAGTGCCTGTGCGTCGCTCAGCGGGGTGTGCCTTGGTTCCTCGCCGCTTGGTTCCCTCTTTAACGACGCCAGAACGAAGCGAGTTCTGGTGTGAACGAGGCCCCAACCCTGCAACCCTCCCTACAGCTTCCCGGGCAGCCGCCTGACGCAAAGTTCCCGCTGCCTTCCGATAGCACGGGAAGGTTTATCCGTACAGATCGCACCACGTTATTAACCAGTTCTCCTCCCTGCTGCAGCGAGGCTAACAGTCAAGCGCGAGCTCTAAACGCGGTCACAAAGCAAGGGCTTGGCAGAAGAACGAACCAAATGCTAAGTGGGCGACGGCGGCCACGTAACGCAGGTGCACCGCTCGCTCCCGGCGTTAAACCGCGTGCTTCGCCAGCCGGAACACACACGGTTTAACCTACTCGACGTGGGTGTTAGCAACAACGAAGCAAGAACTTGTCCATGCATGGCGTACACCACTTTTACTCAAGGAAACGCATATGACAGGGGTTAGAGGTGGGAGTCAAAGGAAGTTAATCTGTAAAGCACAAAATGTTATGGAAAACTCTCTAAAAGAGCATGGAAAACTCTCAAAAAGAGCATAAAGGTTTATGGAAAAAGTTCCAGGGAATTAGAAAATCCACCAGTAACAATGCACACAAGTGTTTTTAGGTTGTTGCTAAAGTGCCAATTAAAAAAATTGATCACACAGGAGATACTAGTTTGTTAAAGGGTTTTTTGTTGTGTTGTGTTAAAATTGAGATACCTAAGACCTTTAGCACATGCCCTTAAGGTTCCCTCCTTGCAGAAACACGGTTGCACAAACAGCACGCCGCTGGCTCTCTGGTGCGTACCTTACAGCGGCAATGAAACCTGTCTCCCCCCTGGAATCACAAGCGTTAGCCGTGCTCCTTGCACGCTCCAAATTTTAAAGGAGAAAAATCAGCCCCAATGCTAGCAGAGTTAAATTACTGCGGAGCTGAATTCTGGTGAAGGAGGGCAGAACTGATACCACGCTTCAGGCCCTGCACGTTTTAAAGAAGAGTTCTCAAGGGATAAGTTCTTCGTCCAAAAAAAGCTTTTGCGTGATTTTAAAGAAACAAATCGTCCTGACGAGTTTTCCCACTCGATTCTCTTCAACCTTCTGCAGCAACAAGATGAAAACGGAGCCTGTCTTTTGTGCTGGGATATTAGTGTGTTTCTACCGGAGTGTTTCTCCTTCAGAGCCACATCAGCACCACCAGCTTCTGTCTGCAGAGCGCAGAGCAAGCAACAGACGTAAATGAGTTTCAGACTAAGGTCTTCACCAAGACAGAGGCAGGGAATGCAGAGGTGGCTGTAAGGAGGGAGCCACACGACTCCTCTACCTCGAGCGGCTGAAACAGTTTCCACGTACGCTGTGTTGGAGTTGTAACACTCAGCTATCAAACACACATAATAAAACCCGAATATCCCTTTCCTTAAGCTCAGAAGCAGGAAAAAGTTAACTCTATTTACTAAAGTTTCATCAGAAAATGAAATCAAAACAACTTCTGGGAGTATGAGGACGTACAGCTACACTTTGCCTTCAGTACCAGGAATCTCAGCTGGTTTTAAGAACAAATGCAAATATAAATTAGGATTTTAAAGTGTCTGTATCTTACAAGAACAGTAATGGTAATATTTATCATCGTCCACACTCCACACGCAGATGTACAACAGCCTGTCAGTGCAGTACACACTGCAAGTTGTAATAAACTATTCTTTGGGAACAGCAGCGACATCCAAAAAAAACCAAGACTATTTTGTCAAAAAGGGAAAGCAAAGAAGCTACTGCTTTGCTTTCAAATATGTTTCCCATTTATGTCTTTATCTGAGGCAATCCTGTCTGGTGCTACAGTCCCACAATATATAATTAATGGTAACGTGGGTCGATTAACGCTGCCAAAGAGCGGGTTAAAAAGGTGGAGTTCCTACAGGACACTACAGAGCCAGACGTTACGCACGAGCGTAACGTTCTACGCCTGTAATCGTGGAGTTAGCTTACCTGCAGAAAAAGTCATCTCTCTTTGCTACAGAGAACAAGGAATAAACCTCCTGGCTTTTAAGAAACTGAAAACCTTTCCTTGTCTCACAAAAACGAGGAGAAAATGCAAAGTTGTATGTATTTTCATATAAGAATATGAGTAAGAATACTGAAGACAAAGAAGGAAATCCCTTTTGTTCCATTTTGGCTTGCATTTGCTCGTTTTCCCTAGAGCATTTAATTTATGTATTTTCTGCTTCTAATCACGTTTTCCACAGCCTACTCCCAACTTACCATCTCAGGGGCAGTTCTTAACGACGTGTCAATAAACACAAAGGGATTTTTTACCTTGAATTTGATTCAGTGCCTTCAACATCGACTATCTGGTAGGTGAGTGAAATTTGAATGAGCAACTCGAAACCTCAGATCAGGCTGAATTTGAAGCAGGTATGCGAGGGGGAGGATTCTGCATGCGCTGCCGCTGTACACGTTCCTGGCCGCATGAGAACAGCAAGGCAAAACTTCCCTGGAGGACTTTGGAAAACACAGGGAGACCCTGCCTCCAGGTCACTGGCTCAGGAACTACCATCATCTACTGTAGTACTCGCAGACAGAGCTGCTCCATCAGAAGTTATCCCAAGTTCTCCAATTTAACGGCTTTAAAGCTCAAACCCATGCTGTCACACAGTTTCCCCTTTTCCACAGGAAGGGGAAAAACACCCTGCAAAACTGCCTGTGGGTGAGGGTGAGGGGAAACACCCACCAGCACCAGTATGAAACACAGCAGCATGTTCCAATGTTTCAGCTGCTCTGCAGCAGCTGGTCAACGAGGCATGTTTTTATGCATTTACTGGAATTACTACACACATCCAAATCCACAATCACACGGTGAGTAGGAGAGAATGGGAAGTCAGATTAAATTGGAATTTTTAGCACTGGCTTCACTGAGGCCAAAACCTTAATGAGCTGCACAACGGGGTTCAAGTTTTTCACCATTTTCCTTTGCTCTCTGATAGCTGGGTTTTCCAAAAACAGAAACTGAGAAGGGCTCTTTCGACACGCAGCAATACCTAAAGCTCTACCAAGGATATATCAAGCAACTAAGCTATTCCAAGAATGTTAGTTGAGGTTTTGCTGTATTCAAGCTTTTACTGTAAGAATCAGTAACATTTATTCTTAACTGTGAGAAAAGGAAAATTTTGCAGGTAGCTGACATTTATCAGTAACTCTGAGGCTTTTCTATTCTTCAGGTGGCTAAAGCAGTAAAAAGGGAAAACACTTAAAATTGAGTTAACTCTTAAAAGCAAATATAATTCCTCAGATGTCACAAACCTTTCACAGTACATTCAAGGAATGACTTCCTACTTGACTTTAAGATACAAACATACAGGCTAAGCAGGCAGCTAAGCGGAGGAGAAACCACCGCCCGAGGTACTGCACCAGACTACGGCGGGGGCACAGGAGGAGGGCACACCAGCACAGCTAAGAACAGATAGTTACCCTGGGTTCTTTGGTTCACTGTCTCGTGAACTTCCTCCCTTCAGCTTTCTAACCAGCTTCTCGCTGCTGCGTCTAATGGAAGCGCGAAGTTTGCTAAAGGAACCACTGCGCTTTAAAGATCCAGTGCCATCCTGAAAGAGATCGAACACATGTCAAAGTGCAAGAGTCTGTTGCCCTCCCCCAAACCTGTCTCAAAAACATTTCACCGATGGAGTATTTTTGCGCATCGCTATCCATACATACGCGGTACGGTTACATAAACACGGGTATTGCAGAGCTGTGACTTTACCAACACAAAAGGGTTCCTTCCAGACAGTAAGAGATGTCTAAAACAGGAAGACATGCTGAAGCCACGACTCACAATGAGCAGCGACACCCCAGCACAGCGGCCAAGCGCTTCACCACCACCACACTGCCGTTTGGCACCAGCGCACGGTGGCTAACAGAGCACAAGTCCCAGCCGAAAGCGTTCCAGTCTGAGACAGAAACGGTTTTATTTTTCCTACACATTACTTGCAAGCACGTTTAAAAACAAAAGTACTTCTGACCAGAAACTGGTAGGGTTAAATTCCTATGCTTCATTTTAACTTTCACCAAAGAAAACGTAAAACATGAAGCAGTGAATTTTTTGTACACCGCATTCACGTTTTACACTGCTGTGCTGATCCAGAGAAACTTCCCACTGACCACAATCCTGGTTTTAAATGTTATACCCTTTAAAAAGCCCAAACCCAACAGTTTAGTAAGATTAGAAGTGACGGGGTCCTACTGCGCAGAAATCCTACGTGATTGTGAAAGGAGAATTGTAAAGGAAGAAAGTAAAGTGCTACTAAGCAGACAGAGACAGACACCTGAGTTGGAGTGAGTTTATTAGAAGTTAGAAAGACAAATACACAAATCACCGAACACCAAGATTAGTAGAGAAAAGCATAATTGCCAAAATCTCACACAAAGACTAAACAGCAATGCTACTTTAGGATAATCATAGGTGAAGACATCCAGAGTTCCATATGGATGTTAACCACGTAATAGGTCTCTAAATACATTTGAAAGCACTTGGAGAACATGCCTTACTGTTACGGGGTTTGTTCTGCTTTCCTCCTGTGAAGCTCACCATCATGCCGTTTCAAGAATACCTCGTGTGGTACTTTTAACTACCTTTTTTTCCATAGTGAACAGCTACTTAGAGTTCATTGTTACTTGGTTTTTTGGGTTTTTTTACTAATGTATTACACAGCAAATGGTTGTCATAACATTTTGTGTGACTAGATACATATCTGGCAAAGCTACACATGTACAGAAATAGGAAAAAAAAAGACACCAGCACTGAAGGAATGGCCAGTTTACAGGGAAGTGTAGCTCTGACAAGAATCTTAAGGGGTTTGCTAAAACACAGCAGTCAGTACTGAAGAGAGAAGTTAAAGCTTGAAGATGGTGCACGCCCGTCATGCAGGAGACAGTATAAGAATCACAAAAGGCATCTAGGCCTGTCAGAAACGGAGAGAGAAAAACCGAATGAAACTGTTGGGAAAAATTCAACAGTTTTCCATTTTGAACAGTTATGTTTACAGTATTTCTAGGTCACATTCAAACCAATTTTTTTCCGGAGCGAGTATCTGGGCTGCCCTAAGTACAACGCGCGGGCCCTTGCAGGTACCGGCACGTAGAGCTTTATACAGTTTCGCTTCTGTCGCTGATACGCAACTTGGGAAGAGCCGGCACGATGCTGTGCGCCCTTCCAGTTAGCGGCTGTGTAAAACACAACACACCTTTGGGAAGGCATTTCGTAAAGAAAGGGTGTTTTGGGTTGGTATTTCAGCTGATATTAACACAAAAATAAAAATAAAGGAAAAAACCAGAAGAAAGGAACAGAGCAAGGTGCATTCATTTCAGCTTTAACTTCTGTCAGGAGCTTTCCTGGAAACACAACTGCAAGAGGAAAGGTCTTCCCCCAACCTCCAGACAAAATACCCTTTATTCCTTTAAGGAATTAGGATCCAACTGACCTCGGGAGTACTTGTTAGAACACACCTGTGTGCCTATACACTGCCCGAGTGGGAACTGCTGCGCCTTCCCTAACGCAGCGAGGCAGCTGCAAGAATCCACCTTTACACACAAGCCGTGCTTCAACTCGCCCGCGTTCCGCCCTCGGAAACCACTACCGACAGCCTTACGGTAACAGGTCTGGGAGCCTCGACCTACGGCAAACTGGAACGAACGGTCGTTAAAATTATTCTTGCAAACGGCAGAACGCCTTGCTACCAAGTGATGAGAAGATCAAAATCTAACCAGATACTTAACGTCTTGCAGGCCTGAATAAATGCAAGTCTGAATCCCCCTTGGAAGGATCAGATCAGTGAAAAGGCTAATTATTCCTACGATCTTAAACCAGTGATGCTGCAGTAGTGATGAGGATCCAATGAACAAAGGCAAGGCAAGTTTTCTAGATAGAGAGTATCACTTTTATTATGTTAACCAGCACATTAGGAATAAGCAGACAAGCTTTTGGGTACTTCAAATCTGAAATAAAACGTTGAACTTCCAAGTTAAATACTGACTGCATGGTTAGCAAACACCTTTAAACCAGGACTTTACGATTAAAAAATAAATCCTAAATCCACTGTAAGCAAACAAAAAAAATATCAGATGCACCTACTTCTATGATAAAGATTAACTGCCAATATTTACGTCACTCAATCAGAATCACCTTGTTACTTCAGCTTACACCTCTCCACCACCATCATCCCTCCCGTACGTTGCAGCTGACTGCTACGAGGCTGTTCTGTGACACTTCTTATTAAAGAACAGCAACTCCTGCTACTTAATCTGTGGCAGTGAAATATACTGCTTCCATTTCACAGCTGACAGCGAACTGATGTGCCCAAAAGCTTGTCTTTTTGAAGCGTGGTTTAGAATAATAAAAGATACTTCCTCATACTAGTCTTAAACTAAACACTCTCCTACCACGAATATTTTTATCTGTCTTGACTGCAAGATCGATTTACAAAAATGCCAATTGCAGATACTGTCATTTTTAATACACAAACATAATATGGGATAAAAATACTGGGATTTCTACCTTGGATTTTTAAGACAAGGTATTTCTTTGAATTTTCAAGTATCTTCAGTCAACTTTTAAGGACGGAGTTTTATACAAACATGTGAATGTCCACTAAACCACCTCAGGATGTTCAATAGTTAGGGACAGATTTACTTCCAACAGATAGTTCTTTTTGTAGGAATGTAAGACAGTACATCAAAGCACGCAATGCTTAACAGTGATTACATTCCATACGGAAGTCACTTAGTTACAACAGATCTTCCAACACAAATTTTGCGTTGAAGTTTGCTGCTTTACACACGCCACCTATTCTCTGACATCCAAGAACATGAGTCAGCTTGACCTCTTCAGAGGAATTTAAAAGGAAAAGGCAGGCCTCTTCAGGCTCTGCACACAGAAGTGTCTGCCCGATAATAAAAATTCTACTGTACTTTATGAATCAGAGTATTTTGTCTGGAGGGACACGAGGGTAAAGAAACTACATGATCTAAAGTACAGGGAAGAAGAGCACTGAGATAGAAACACTAGGAGGGTGGAGGGAGAGAGAGTTGCCCACTTTATGTAAAAGTAGTAATACAAAATACCTTCCCTTAAGAGAGGGAAAAAAGAGAAATAAATAACAAAGATGAGAATTAAGCAATGCCACTTCAGCACACTAAAAGTGAAAAATTAAATTTTGACTGCCCAGGAAAACAAACTTTTTCTGATCAACAAATTTTATTGCTGGGTTTCATTCAAATATTGACCTAGAAATACTGTCTATTGCTTTTCCAGAAGGCCTTTTCAATCCAAAACCTGCATGCTTGTTTAATTATGTCAATAACAGGAAAAAAAAAAAGTTTAATGCATTTAGAACATATAGTCATGCAAAGTACAGCGAATATTAAGGGAGGAGTACAGTACACAGTTCTAATGCTGAATGGGCAAAATGAGAGTTAAAAAAAAGTTATCCAACCTTACTTTGGCTTTATTAATGATGCAGTATTATTCACAACAGATGCTGATTGACTGTCTTGGCACTGAGAACACCAATGCCAAGAAAACATTAATAAAGAGACAAAAGCAGAGATGGTAAGAACATGCTCCTTTTAAGATTACAGCAGTATGTGTTTTATCAAGGTATCTTTGGAATGCTAAACCTTCTCTTAGGGGGCTTAAAAAAAAAAAAAAAAAAAGAAGAAAAAACATAGCTGTTGTAAGAGAAATAAAACTGGAGCACACTCAGTATTGCAAAGTAGGCTACTTCCCCTCCCAGACAGCAAAAGCAGCAACAGCACTTTCATAATCTAACAGAGTATTTTCAGCAGAAGTGCAGCTGGGAGTTAGTTAACGGTGCAACATATATCCCATTGTCAGCAATGGGATAAAGCATGGAAAAGCTGGTGACAGAAGCAAACAACTACATAAGCCAGATGAGTAACTAAAAGCTTGTACTGTCTTTCAAATGAAGGAAAACAACGGTTAGAAAAACACGTATGTAACCACACTATATACATGTCTTGTCTTTGTGACAGTCAGTGTCGTACAGTGAAGCCAATATATGGGGAACAAATAGGAACAAGCCCTGACTCCGGTCAAATTCTAAGACAGGAAAGCGACATTAATACCTCACGTAAGAAATGTGAAGTTACTAACGCGCTGTGATGTGATGGCACTGCCTCAACACAGATTGTATAGCAGCTTGAAAATTGTGTTCTTTCCTCAAACTAGCTGGCTAAGGAGGAGAATTATTTTAGTGTTAGACTGATCACTTTCATTTACTCCAAAACTGCTAACACTTAATACATCTCCATAGCAAACGTTCTTTGTGATTCCAACAGATGCAGTATTTTTGAAGAAACATTTAAATTATGGGCAACTATGGCATCAAAAGGACAAAAGCAAAAGTAAGTTAATTGCCAGACTATTTCTACCAGTAAAAAGAAACCACTGACAAACAACCGTACACCAGACCATAACCAGGACATTCAATCAGCATTAAACAACTTAAATACAACTGCTTGGGATTCTTGAAGAAATTTCACCCTTCGGGACAACAACAAAAAGGATGTTTTAAGATTTTAAGTTGTTACTTTTTTTTTTTTTTTTACATGACGTTAAAGAAAAACAAAGTGTTGCTCTTCATCTCTTAATTGATTCTGCAAAATTACAAAATATGAAGTAGATCAACCAAGGAACTACTGAAAACACGAGAGACTGGTAAGTGGACAAGTGTATTCATTATGGTGATAATCTATCTAGGCTATTCTCTTAAACTGTGTACTGTACTTACCCCATTCCACTCTACGCTCATACTCACTTCCTCGCCTCCGTCAGGACCACTCTCATATTTTACCACATCAACGTTGAGGCTTTCTCGGCTTCGCCTTTTTTCTATGCTCTCAGGGTCATTCAGCACTTCGGCAACTCTCTGTTTATGAGCATTGTCAAGACCCTGAGAATTAGGTAAAATTGGGAAAGGTTTTATTTTATTACAAGCGGTATTAATCTACAACTGACACACAACAACCGTACCAAGAGAAGTCAAGCCCGGAACTCCAATACCCTGATCCTGCCTTCAAAGGGCAGTCAAGATGAGTTGCCCTTCACATGCTGCAGGAACCAACACAGCAGGAAGAGCACAGACAGTCTGGTAGTTTGAGAATTCGGTGACCTGCCGTTCTTTTCCTCCTCCCCTATCACTTGTCACAGGCTCATGGTGTTCATGGCACTTACCTGAAGCCATCTGGCCACCAGCCTAATATTTAAGCAATTTGTAGGTTGTGAGCAGTCAATGCCATTATCAGTTCTTCACCTAACAAACGGTGTTCACCCACCTTTGGAAAGAACATCGCAAGTGTCCGAGTATCTAAGACACAGGTTGTGTTGTTTAGAAATACTGACACTTGGCACAGCAGTGCAATTTATCCTTCAGAAAGAAGTCAGATAGAAAATAATCTTAGAACAGAACAGACCAGATATATTGTCAATAAGATGGGCATTCTGTAACGCAAAGTAAACCTATCAATTATCAATTAATCCTTCAAATATCTTACATGTGCTAAAATACCTTCTATGAAAACCCTGCACTAAAAATAAAGGCAAAATCTTTAGCATACTTCCACTCAGTTTCGTTTTCTTTATAATAAACCTACTCCATATCACAAATAGGATTTGCTGATGGGAAGAGATCCCAGAAGAATGCCTTACACAGAAGAAAATACTCTGGCTGTATGGTGCAGAAGAGTAGCTGGAGCTCCCAGACAGCAGAGAAGCATAGGCTCATCAAAAGGGCCTTTGGACCAAACCCTTCAGCAGCACAGAACACAAAAAGCATAAAATTATTTAAAATCACCACTGAGAGGTGATGCATCACACAAACAGCCTCTAGGCCCTGTTCCAAAGCTGTTGTCTCTCATTTTCCTCAAGTTTAAAAAAAGATAAAGGAAGGGACAGGGAACGGCACTTTCCTGGTTTGTTCAATTCTGTCACGAAAGATGAAGGACAAAGAACTTCACTGGTCTTCAAAAACCAAGCAAGTAACATCCCAGCAGCTACAGCAAAGGAAAAATGTGTGAAGGACAACAGAGCTGTGGAGGACAGATGCTTTTCCACACCTGGGAACAAAAGCACCTCTTGGCTGTCAGCTCAGAAGGGGACATGCAAGGGGACTCTGCAAGTGTTTAAGATGGCATCAGTTTATCACCAGTTCAAGCCAAAATTAAGGGGCAACACCAGGCACCAGACACTGAAGAGCTAAAAGTTTCTACGTTCGGAATGTACAAGAGACACTGAGGCTGAAAATGTGCATGACCACAACACAGAAACATCATTAAGGTGAATTTTCATACTTGCCTGTTTACGAGATCTCATTGCTGCCTCTTCTAATGTTTCAGCAGCTTCAAATTTGCCCTGTCGTCTGTAAAGTGCCCCAAGGTTCTTTAAGGTAGTGGTTACTGTTGGACTATTTAAAGAAAAACACACATGCATTAAACTCTTCTCAACTCACAAACTAAAAAAAAAAAACTTAATGTAGTATTTATTGTAATTTATTGTAATTATTTAATAAGTCTCTCCTGAAATACGCTGTACTTCACGTGGATGGAAAAACCTGCTAACCCCTTTCAATGTGCATTAACGCCTCTCACTGATTAGTCAACAGCCCTGCAACTGGAAGTTATTAACTGCCCTCTAGATCTACTCAAAAGTGGAGTGCCAGATCTCTGTGTTTCTCAGATGCGTCTCAAAGTGAAAATTTAGCTCAGTCTGAGTGTGTCCAACTGAATCACTGTGAAGCTTCCAGAAAATATGCCTACTCATGCGTACAGTGCCATTACGGTAGCACGTGTCAGCCACAAAATAAATCACCAGTTCTTTTCACCAGCTTTTACTCTGTACTGACTTTCAGTTTCTGTGCATTCAAACTACGCTTGAACAGTAAAAGGGGGGGGGGGGGGAAAAGAGCAATAAAAAGGGGGGGGGGGGGGAAATACTGCACATTCCATTAGGAAGTCTCACACTCCAGCAAGACATTTTTCTTTCAATGACACAACAAGAATTAGCTCCAGCACATTATTGTTACTTGAAGTTTTTCTCCAGTAACACCAGAGAAGAGATTTCCCCGTGCATTAGAATGGCACTAGTACGTGAAAAACCAACTAACACCATGGACTGCAGCCAGCGTTCAGGATGGACAAAAAGAGAGCAGATTTCAACAGCACAAGTTCTGTTGCTCGTTAAATACAAGAATTCAAACAACGAAGAAACAAAAACCCCTCAGTGAACATTATCAGGACTAGCTGCAGGTTTTTTCTTACACTGTACCACCTGCCTGTCAACAAAAAAAAGGCAGGTAAGGACCAAATTAAAGCAAACAAAAATATTTCACCAGCTACAATCCAAGCTGAAGTCCTTGCTTCTCTCTTCCATTTTACGGTAGATGTTCTCATGCACACAGGACTATATTCTTCAAGCTTTAGAAACTCAAATAATGCTGAATTGCAGCAGTTCAACTTTGTTTCATGTGCCAGCTAGAAAACTCAAGGCTCAGTTGTCTGCAGTCTCCCTTTTGCTTCTGGCCCTCTCTAGAGGTTCCGCTGGGGCAGGGAGAGCACGTACGCCAAGCAACAGCATAAAAAGAAAGAAAGGTGACCTATGCTTCCATGTGAAGGACTGCCAAGAACACAAGTGGTGAATTTTTACGTCCCTTCCTAGAGCTAACCAGCCTAGATTAGAAGCAGCCCCGGGACTTGAAAATTGCTACTGTGTTCCTGAAACCCAGTCCTGGGGCCTGAATTTTTAATACTGTATTTTTTCTGGTCCTAAGAGCAAGCAGTTGCTTCATTTTCATTTTCAAACATGCTTTAGTCTGACATTTCTGGGTACTGCCATATTGTTTGCCCTGCAAAGAATTTACCCACCTGTCAACTTTGCAAGCTTTGTACCAGCCACCGTATTCTCCGAAAGATGTGCCATCTTTTTGCTTTCCCTAAAACAAAAGTGACATTGAAGAAAAATACCCGATTTGTAACTTCAATAGTAAAAGATCCAGAAAAGATTTACGTCAACGGCCTTACTTTGCATTCTTCCCTCTCTTCCGCGTGCATCCAAATAGGCTTATTTTCATCTGATGGAACAGAAGAAAATATTTTATAGAATTACAAACTAAGAAGTACTCATTGTTTGATTTTGACCCTTCTGAAGTGATGAACCAGAGAATTATACTATTGCCATACAGAAAAGCTTACTGTTCATACTACAAGCAGCAGATAAATAAGACATGCACCTCTTCTTTTACAGTTTTACAGTTCTGCCTTCTTTGCTCATCTGACCTTAGAAACAGTTACTTCTGAAAAGCTCTGAAGTCAGTATACGCTGCCATCAATCCGTCATGTGCCTAGACCTGTGCTAGAGCACACATTTCTTTCTTTTATCGTTAACAACTGGTTTGACATCTACTAAGTGGTGCATATGTTATTGTCACAGAACGCAATGAAAATTCGTCACTGTGATTTATAGCTGGTAACATGCATTTGACTTCAATGTACAGTGTAAGTCCCAATTTCAGGGTATTTTCTCCATTCTTTAAGTGTATTAATGGAGGACTCACATTAACAACGTTTTCATTACATCATTTTAAATCCTACACTGACTTTTTCCTGGCACTTAAAAGCAACATACATTTTTCTGCTTCTATAAAAATATCAAGTTGCCTTTGGTTGGGCATAAGGTAAGAAAGACAATCCATAAAATAAGCCTACCAAGTCTACCTCATGTAAGAAAAGCCCTCCTTTTAAATCAAATACTACTGCTGTATCTAAATGCTTTCTTACAATGAATGTACTCCAGCTCGTCTATAGTCTCACTTTTAAGTCTGCCTCAAGAGGACAATTTTAATCAGGATACAGTTAACTTTCTGCAGATTTTGTTCCATAATAACTACAAAAAAGAAACATACGTTCAAATCTAGGGACTAAGTTTCTTACCATCTACAGAGCCAAATTCCCGTTCGTGAGCGCGAGTAAGAATCTCTTTGTATAAAGTTTCTGCTTGCTTGAATTTGCCCTGTTTTAGATAGCAGGATGCCTGAAAACAAAATACACACACCCCCATGATATATCAGCACACTCAAAAAAAAATAAATACAATATTGTTTCAATTCATCACAAAATTTTACTTTTTGTTAATTTGTTTTATAAAAAGGCTTACCAGGTTATTCTTTGTTTTCGCAACATTCGGATCATCTGGCCCCAGCTTAGTCTGGTAAATCTCCAGTGCCCTCTGATAGTAGTATTCAACCTCCTCATATTTACCTTGGTTCTGGCATAGTAAAGCCAAGTTATTTAACTGCTTGGCAACATCAGGGTGATCTTTCCCCAGAACCTGAAAACAAAACACCTTGAATTAAAACATTCTTCTCCAATCACTGCATCAAGGCTTACAAATGCATGATTTAGAAATACACCGGTAGTTTTTACTCCTCATCAATTCAACATGAGGATGACAAAAGCAAAATTAGCATTTGAAAGATATGAGAATTACTCAGTTCTATTACAAACTGAGAATGGTACAGAATAATTCTTCACAGGAGGACCGTAGGTAGCGCATTAATGTTATATGCAGACATGCTCACAGGCTAGAATAAATATCCACACAGTCATACAATGATCAACCTCAAAATGAAACGTCATTCAAATTTTTAATCCCAATGCCCTTGTCAAATCAAAGATTACTGAACTATCAAAGGGGAAACAAAAAGGAAAAGGTGGTTAATTACAAAATACAGAATTGAGAATATATGCAGAGTGCTCCAACAGCTCCATAGGACTACTAGAATTTACTCCTGGTTTTGAATTTCAGACACTGCCAGCTGCTAAGGCATTTCTCACTGTGGTTTATCTGGCACATCTACCCAACCAAAACATCAAAAAAGTAAGGGTGTTTAACTTTGCTCCTTCCCCCCAAAAATCCACTCAAAGGTGCCGTATTCTTTAACTCTTACCTTTTCTCTGATTTCCAGAGCTCGCTTACACAATGGTTCAGCTTCTTTGTACTTGCCTCGTTTACCATAAAGTACTGCAAGATTGTTTAGAGTTGCTGCCACCTGTCAACAGTAGAGATGTATTAAGTACACTGGAATTTGCTGATACAAATACCTGACAGATGAACACATCTGCAATGCATTGATGTTTCCATGCACAGGGCAGACCTCTCGGAATTTGCAAATGAAGAAATAATTATTAAATGCATACATACACAAAGGAGCAAAAGGAAAAAAAAACAGTGTCATGAAATAATTTCACTTCATTTGTGGAAATGTAATTTTGTGCATACATTTTCTTCATATGATCTTCTCTTACAAAGTCACCTCTCAAATCTATACTCAGAGCTGCCCTCATCCCACTTCATGCCGCCTGTGTGAAGATCACAATCATTTTAAGCACCAAGTACAAAAGCTTGATTTATGTTTCATTTAAAACCAGCAGGAAGACAAATCAGAAGTGTACCTTCAATCTGAGTTTACTGAAGTAATTTGAGTAAGCAAATCAAAGTCTTTCTTCGCAAATTAATTTCCCATAGAAAACCCATGCAATCCAAAAATCAAGCATGTGCAAGTCATTTGTGGTGAAATGGCGTTGAACATAATGCTCAAAAGGTACATTAAATATTTAAGAGAAAACAGAGGATGTTATGTTGTGGCCTCCTACCTGTACTGTTTAGAGATTAGCCCGGTCTTAAAACCTTTCCTGTTGAGTTTAATATTAGAATAAGTTGAAAAAAAAAATCAGTGAAAAACACAACTAAAAATATGATATTGCATGTATACAAACCGCTGGATGATCTTTGCCCAACGTCTTCTCACGGATAGCCAAGGCATCATTCAGGAGATTTGCTGCATCTTTGTATTTGTTCTGGTCTCTAAATTTTAAAGAGTTGAAATTAATATGGAGGATTCAGAAGAGAAAGTCATTAATGCAAAGCTGACTTCAGTACTGGCCTAAAGATGCCAGTACAAAAGGAGAGTAATGGAGAATACATTCAGAAATCAGGAAGTAAGAGCCCAAAGCCTGTAACTGTAAAGTAATTTGCTGGCTGAGGACTAGCTACTTTTACACTGCTGTCCAATTTATAACTCTAGATTATCGGTAAGTGGATAATCCAGACATGCCCCCTCAGCAGACAAAAGTATCAAAACTAGCCTCACTCCCAAAACAAAAATTCACAGGCAAAACCACAGCAACCTGTTTGACTTTTAGTGTAGGGAGACATAAATATTGCAGGATCCTCTTCAGGGTTTTAACAAACAACGAGGATTGGAAAATAATGCAACAGTCAAAACCTGTTAGTTTGAACATGACCAGGTTATAGCCAAATGCTGTTTCTTTAACTGATATTTATGTCAGCATACAAACCTGTACACCAAAGCAAGAATGTTCAACATAGTGGCAACGTCAGGATGATCGTGTCCTGAAGTCTTCTCCAGATCTTCAAGAGCTTGTTTACAGAGCGGGACAGCAACCTCGTATCTACCTTGGGAAGCGTACTGGATAACGAGATTATGAAGGGTCCTTAATCTTGCTGGAATTTCATAGCCACCTTGTTGGGCAGCAGCTGCTGCACTGCTGTGCTGCTGTTGAACTGTAAGAGATCCACAAGAATTCACGTTGTTTAAAAGATGACTAACTAAAACACGTAACATTTTGTGTCACTGAGCAGTAATGAGACTCACTGAATTGTACTTCTTCAATACAAAAAATTAGAAAGTACTTTGCAGCAGTCATGCTGTCCAGAACAGTGACGGTGAAAATATGATCGTTTTATTCGTCATACTCTGTTCAGCATCATATCAATATTTTACACTTCTAAGGGCCAAATTTAATAAACCAATGAAGAAAGTAGGAAATGCTTTCAGCTCAGCAAATCATTACCAATTCTCCAGATTATATCATAATTTTGCACTTACTACTATTGACATTTCTCTGTGGAAAGGAACATTACCACACACAAGACAGATACCTGCAGAACAGCTCAAACCGTTTGTCCTTTTCCCCTTATTCTCTAAACGCACATTTTTTTGTTTCCCTTTATTTGCTACACCAAGTAATACTTAAAGTTGGCACATAAATATTAAAAAACATTGGATACCACAAATAACAGCTGCAAGAGAAAAAGCATTGAGACATCAAAGCCAGTGTCAACCTTCAGGTTTTACTTAATAACCCTCAGGCTTATTTTCCAGTAGCTCCTAACCTTTGGTTGTTGCAACCCCCACCCTCCCAGTCCCCCACCCCCTTCAAAATCTACCACCATTTTTCTCTTACTCTGAAAGATTTCTAGGAAGATTAAGAAAATTAACTCTTACTCATTTTCATTAAATTCTAGACAATACCCAGGATAAAGGCTCCAGCCATGAGCCTGACTTTCTTCTCTTCATTACATTAAGCAAAAAAACCACTCTCACAGCAAGTGGGCGCCTTTTTATGTCGAATCATACAGTTCCAAGCCTACACCCACAATCACTGCCTACCAAAGCACTGATGCATTTCAGTGTTTTTCCTGGAGGTCAAGGAAATTACTGAAACGTCAACTTTGTCTTTTGTAAAACGAAAGAAGGTAGGTGGACTACACACGTATACAGACAGCTTTGCCGTTCAACTTTCCTACTACAAAATTCTAGGGAAGGAAGAATGAGCTCAGGCTGGAGCTCATGGTCAGCACTAACCTATTCTAAATTCTTCAAGCGTTCCTTCCATGGCTGGCTACAGACAGCACTACCGCGCTCTCAGGCGTGCGGTGCACCGTGTGCATGTGTCCATAAAGGAAATTCAAAACCCTGCTGATTACAAAGGTGGGACGGAGCCTTCAGGCATTGTTTTCGGAAGTCAACGGTCTATGAAGAACCATTACACGACTAGCACACTGCAGATACACTAAAATATCAATACATTATCTAATACCAGCTTTACACCCAGAGGAAAGCCACAACATTTCACGAAGCAAGGCTTATCTATTAATGGCTTCTTCCAGTCACACTACCGAACCTCTACTTCAAACTTCGCTGCATATTCATCAGTGCTCCTGACCTGAAGACCATACTTCTCCAAAGAGTTGTAAAGCAAAGAAAGACAACCTTAGCGAAGAACAAAAGATCATACGAGAGACTTCAGACTGCAACGTGCCCCAGAATGTTAAATCAGTTCATTAAAGAGGCCGTTAACAGAATTCACCATACAGGCAGACCATCAAATGCTTCCAAGTTTCAGCATCTGCCCCAGTCACTTGGAATAATTTTTTTCCATTCCAAGGCCCACAGGAAAGACAGTGAGACCAATCCTGAAGTGAAATCAGCCCCAAAAACTTTACAACAGCTAGTAAACTCTCTTTAAAACCTATGCCCCAGTTCTGTACATATCAATATATAGAATGCGTGCCAATGACTGGTTTCCTTACTCCAGCAGAGGCATTCACCACTCCGCTGTGTCCCAGAGGGCCCCAAGCATGGATTCATTTCTGTAAAAGGCATGTTTATATTCGGCATTGGAGAAATACACTAACAGTATAAATTTGAAGTGCACTCACTTCCTTGTCCTTGGTCATCTTCATCATTGGGAAATAAGTCATCCAAAGGCTCTTTGGTGGAATCCGTATCTTTATCCTCCTATAGAACAACCCCAAAGCCAAACAAATTGTTACACTTAAATCTAAGGGTAAAGGGACAGTCCACTTAATCAGCAACGTTAAAGGAAAACCCCACATCCAAAACTTGGGAATTTGCAAGAGCAACGTTTCTCACAGAAGTCTAGTGAAAGTCTTATGTTCAAACGTATTTACATACTCTGTCCCGAAACAATAGAGGACACCTTCAGAAAAGCCAGGAATAGAAATCAGGTCTCCTAGATTTCAGTCTCAATTTAAGCTCACAAGAACATACTTGCTCTTTTTACAGAGACACTATACCTACTGAAAATACCCAGTGAAGAGCAAGTGCTGCTGAATACAGAATTGTCCACTCTACTTTTTTAGTCAGAAATGCAGTTAGAGATGAGCAAGGGAAAGGAATAAGGAGATTCATCTCCTGAAGGTAAATTAAGTTGCACCACCAACTTTAATTCTGTCACCTCAATTTCTGAATACTCAGCTACTGCACAAATGATAGATTTTGCAATTATGATCTGGTAAGGTTCAAAAAGAAAAAAACATTTGGAAAGAAATTAATCTCCAATAGACTCCACCTGAAACCGTATTAATTTGTGCACAGTACCTCAGTATATACTGATTTTAAACATCCAAAGATCATTCCAAATCCCACAATCACATAAAATAAAAAAACTAGATCATCCCTCAATCCTGTTTCTTAAAGGTGGAGTCTACACAATATAAATAGTTGAAGTTCTCAGAAATTTTAATCTCACTGAGGAGAAAACCCAGGAGCAGAACACATTCCTAATGAGTTGTTTGGGTTTTTTTAAGCTAATATGATACCAAGTAAGTATTTTTATATATTACTATCTACAGACAGTGAAACATTTACTCACTTAAAATAAGAATGAACTGAACTCTCAGCATCTTTCTGCAAACTATGCAACACTGGAACAAGGTCAGCATTTTAATGACAACTTTATGCTAGAGACAAATGAAAAGCTGGTCTATACCATTTTTTAGTAACTAGGCAGATTACCAAACATACGTAAATGTAAGGTGCATTTTACTATGCAGCTACTTACTGATGGTGAAATATCATCATCGTATTTTTTTAACTGATTCATGAATTCTAGATGTTTCTTTTCTTCCTCCAGCTGAGCCACAGACTGCTCACTCTTTTGTAGTTTCTGTTGTGTATTGGCTAGTTCATCCCGTAGCCACTGATTTTCCTGGCATAACCGGCGAACCTGAGCACGCAATTTCTGCTTCTCTGATTCCACTGCATTTAAGTGATTTGACAAGGCCATCATTACCTAAAAAGCAGAAGGTGTCACATGACTTAGTTCCTCTAGAATGCAGTTCTATATTTAACATAAAAGTCTTATCATTTAAAACCTTTAGCAGCTGTGAAATCTGGTAAACATTCAGATTTTTCTCCTTTATATATCTGGTTCTCACTTTTCCTCTAAACTTTTCTACCTTTTGCTCAACCAGAATTAACCTAGAGGAACTCTTCACTAGTGATTTTTTCCATATTGTACTAGGATTCCTTGAAGATCACATATAGTCTTAAAATATATGAAAAATTTGCGCTAGGATTTAGATTACTGAAATGGAAATCTTTGTTCCACAAACATGAAAAGGAGCAGTAATACTCTTAACTTGAAGGATCACAAAAATAACCTAAGAACTAACAAAGTCCTAATTTAAGAGCTTTTAGACAGGAAGATTCATATACAAGATTGCAGTTCATAAGGAAGCACACCTCAGCATAATGATAATACTTTGTGCTGGTTTTGGCCAGGATAGAGTTAATTTTCTTCATTGCTGGTACAAGGTTATGGTTTGAATTTGTGCTGAAAACAACACTGGTAACGCAGGGATTTTTCGATTATTGCTGAGCAGTGCTTACACAGTGTCAAGGCCTTTTCTGCTCCTCACCCCGCCAGTGAGTTGGCTGGGGGTACACAAGAAGCTGGGAAGGGACACATCTGGGACAGCTGACCCCAACTGACCAAAGGGATATTCTAGACCATATGACATCACACTCAACATATTAAGCTGGGGGAACAAGGAGAAAGGGGTTGATGTTCAGAGTGATGGCATTTGTCTTCTGTTATGTGTGATGGAGCGCTGCTCTCCTGGAGATGGCTGAATGATCAGTGGTGAATAAATTCCTTGTTCTGCTTTGCTTGCATGCGTGGCTTTTGCTCTACCTATTAAACTGTCTTTACCTCAACCTAGGAGTTTTCTGACTTCTACTCTTCTGATTCTCTCCCTCATCCTGCTGGGGGGGGGAGTGAGTAAGCACCTGTGTGGTGCTCAGTTGCCAGCTGGGGTTAAACCACGACATACTTCAAAGGGACAATTATACTGCCGAGATCTGAATGTGCAACTGAACACACAATTTATACAAGCACTTTATATATACATATCAGCTTGAGTGTGCAGACATTCAATGTCTTTACAATGCAAAGTTACATGAAGGACAAACAAACAGAACAGCCATAAAAGCAAACTACTCTAGCAAAAAAAAAAAAAAATCCAAGTTAAATAAAAAAGGAGTATGTTAAGTGAAAGCCAACTATGACATACATCCTCCCTTCACTGTTCATGTGATCTCCCACTGATACACTGGGATCAGCTGATGGCAACCCCAGGAAGCACACCTAGTAAGGATAGGCAACTGGTGAAAATAAAAAAATCTTCTTACAGATAAGTTTTACGTCCCCAAGTGTTTAGCGTGTCATCTGCTCAATTTCATGTTTCTTTAAAACAAATTTACCTTGAAGTGCTTTTAAACTAAATATTCCAAGTGAAACAGACTGTGTCCTTAGCTGAAATTTCAGGTTTAAAAAAAAAAAAATAAATTCAAGCCTTTAGAAACTACTTTTCCCTATAAAGGTAAGATAAAACTCCAGGTATAATTTCTTAATAACAGCCAAATCTCTAGACTTCAGCACCTACCTATTTACATATTCAAAATTGTTAATGATTGAAATTACTTGGTCTACTCAAACAGTGGCATTTGTAACATCAGAAAGAATATTTAGGAAAGTTGTGATAATAGGGTCAACATATTCAAACAACATTCTACAAGCTACAATGGCAAACTAAAATCCTTTGTGATCTTACTCCCTAGGATTAACTGAAAGAAAAGTTTGATTACTTCTTCAAAGTAAGTTTCATTTCCATGGAAACAATACTTCCACCATTAGACTTACATCCACGTTGCAGAAACATCTATAAAATACTTCCACATCTTAATTTAAATCCAAATTAAAAAAAACACCAATCAACCAACCCACCCACCCTGCACTGTTGCAACCCAAAAGCATGCAGGCAGAGTAGGCTTATCAGGTATGAGAATAGTAGTTTGAAGTGCAATCGCTTTCCTAACAAAGGCAGCAAATGCAGAATTCTTGGCTCCACACCACCACAGTTCACAAAACACCATGTGGGGCAAACAAGCCAGTAACATCTGCAATTGAGGCTGCTGAATCTGACAGACCCAAGAATCAGAACTACCTTTTCAGAGACCCATTACCATGTCAGAGTTAGGACAGAGAAGCTACTCACATATCTCCTACAACCCCCATTAAAGGCAACTCAATTACTGCAATTTTGTTCCATATATCTTCTAGTATTTTCTTCCAATACAGGGGATCAAAGCTTGTACAATATCCTAAGGCCTGACAGTCTGTACCATAACGTCCAAGGATTCAACATTGCTATGAGAGGGTGCTGGGAGAGGACTTTTTACAAGAGCCTGTAGTGATAGGACAAGGGGTTACGGGTACAAATTGAAAACAGGGAGGTTTAGATTAGATATCAGGAAGAAATGCTTCCCAGAGAGGGTGGTGAGGCACTGGAACAGGTTGCCCAGAGATGTTGTGGACATCCCATCCCTGGATGTCTTCAAGGCCAGGCTGGTTGTGGCTTTGAGCAACCTGGTCTAGTGCAAGGTGTCCCTGCCCATGGCAGGGGGGTTGGAACTAGATGGTCTTGAAGGTCCCTTCCAACCCTAACTATTCTATGATTCTATGTCTGGTAACCCATATTTGATCATTCTCTCAGGCCTCAAATTCACCATGATCCAATGCACACAACTTCCGGATCACCGAAAATAACAGCTCGATCCAGACGAAAAGACTGACCACAGTTACAGACCAATAAAAAGCCTATTAACATAAAGTTGACTCATTGGAATTTTCAGGTCATTTGCAAACACTGCCATTTTATTCTGCTGACTGCGTGGCATCCTATCATTTCAGTTTTTTGACTTAATAGAAAATACCCTAATGCTGGACCATATATACAGTCCTGACAGGAGGACTAAACATGCATCTTCTGCTGTGGAAAAGTCTAAACATAAAACAGCTACTGTCTCATTGAAGTAAAGAGGAACTCAGTTACGAGCTTCAGTGCTTTAATACCGAATGCATAATTAGTTCTGTAACACAGCAAGACAGACACTATCTACCTCTATTAATTACAGCAGTCTCTTTCCTTAACATACAATAACAACGTAAATGTCTCAGCACATAACTAATATTCAGAAAGAGAAACGTAACCTCCAAGTCTGAAATGCTTTATTTCTACTGCAATTTTACCTGTGCTTCACTAAGGCCAAGCTCCAGCATTTCCAGTGACTTTCGAATCATGTTTGATTTTTCTTCAACCAGATTAGTTTCATCATCTTTCTTCAAACATTTCAGTGTTTCAAGTAAGCTCTGTAAAATTGAGTTGTGTTCATTCTTCAGTGCTTCTAGTCCATTAATCACTTGCTTCGTTTTGGCAATGATTTCATCTTGAGTAAGCTTCTCCAACTTCTCTTCCTTTAAATACACCATCGTGGACATGTTTTCATACATTCTGAAATGGAAGAAAGCACACTAGTTAACCCAAAGGCAAAAATAAAGTAAGAAATTTTCTGTAACTGAAAAAAGCTTTCCTTTAAATAAGTAATTAAAACCTATGACTTTGAAATGTGCATTCAGAATGTAATTATATTTTTGCACAACTTTTACAATGTTTTAAGTCCCGTTTCAAGTTTTCCAGGGTTAGTTTAGCACTAATTCATAAGCCAAACAACAACTGAAAATAAAATCTGTATTTCAATATGTCAGAAGAATTTCTAACAAGCACAGAAGAATCAGTCTGCATATCCAAGATGTGCAAAAGCAAACAAAGTAGCTGGTGTATAAAAGATACAGTATAATTGTAGATCAGTGGCATCTGCAAATATCCCGAAAGTAGAGTTTGAGGAATTTGAAGAAATATCATCTGTTGCCCTAAAAAGGTTGATCTATCAGTCAATCATGAGAAAAATCATCTGTTTCCAGTAAAACACCAACTTCATCCTTTTCCCCAAGGGCTACAGAAGCTATTATCTCTACATACTCTGAAAATAACAACTGCCCCCTAAGATTACTTTACATTTGTTATCGTAACTCTAAGCCACATATAGATATTCAATTGTCTCCAGTCTAGATGCAGCTGTTTTGATGAAGTTGCAACAGCTGTCTCGTGCCAGAAAGAATGGTTTCTATAACACAACCCTCGCAATAAATATTTCACTGTGCTATTTTGCCAGCCTTAATGTAGGGCATGAGGTACTGACAAACTTCTGGGTGCTTGTAAGCAGTTCTACCAAATGCAAAGGAAGACCCAAAGGAGTTTAGAAAGTCAGGTAACTTTATATATGGTGTTACTGAAGTGATGAACAAGTACAACAATGTAAAAATACAAATAAGAAGGCACAGAAGTCACCTGACCCTATTTAAATGTCACCAGAAAAATGTTCTACAATGAAAATAAAGGATCGAGGTATTACACCTGTATATTTAAGAGATTTATATCTTTGAGTGTGCCAGGAAGTACAAATTAGAATAAGGTATGGAAGATTTTTCAAAAGCAATGAATTATCACATCTATAAGATGACGCTTGGGGAAGCCTTGATAACCTAACATTTAAAATTAATTCGCTAAACTGTATTAAATCTCTGTATAAATCTGGTTTCAGAAGAAAGCCCAAAAAAATTACAACTACTTAAATCTCAAATGAGACTGCTATAAGGAACATGCGTACATGCACCGCTTCATGTCAACAGCCAAAGGATGTGCTCTTATGCTCCTGCATTACATTAAAAAAAGGTTGCTCTTTCTGTTTATATACACTCAAATTATCCTCTCTTATGACCTCCTGCAACGCAATACACCACAGGCATACCCATTTGACACTAAAGTGCTGTACACTACACTGAGTTTGTGATAATCTATTACCTGACAACACAGATAATTTGGGGAAGCCGCCAATTTGGTTCTGCCAGAGTTTAACAGAACAACTCCACTGGCACAAATGTGTAACACAGAATGCACGTATCGGTACAAAACAGCTAATCTAGCACAGAATGAGAAATCAACCCACCAAAACCTGACGAGCAGAATGGTATTTACACATTTCCTATTTATAACCTCAGAACTCAGATGCTTAAGTGACATTGTAAAGCACACATTCTCCAAAACAGTGTATAAAAAGGAACGTACTTAACGCCCAGCACAGCAGTGAACCTGCTTCAGACATCCATGCTGCTTGTCTCGATTTGGTGTGCCAGATGTTTAAACCACCTCACCCTACACCGAACGTAGCGATAAGCTTTCACTGCCGCGGAGCTGCCTGTACTGCAGCTGGTGTCAAGTCAAAAGCTACCCCACGACACAGATTGCTCTGAAGGTCCATGCAGCCTGGGAGAGGGATCCTCAAGTCTCCTCTAATGAAAATTGTTAGAATCCTAATCTCTCCCACTGACAGGAAAGGAATAAATCTTTCTGTACAGATTTCGTAGGATGTTTGGTTAAATTATGTCTGTATAAAACGCTACAGAAAAGTGGGACAATGTTGTTCAAAGTTTTATAGGTTGTGCTTGGGAGAATAAAAACAAATGTGGAATTTATAATGCTATCAGATCTGTTTCTTTGCAGGAGTAAGATTAATAAATAAATAGCTAGTATCAAGAGTAGCGTGGAGGTGTGGTGCAATTTCCTTGATTTTTTAAAAATGTATTTCACAAAAGGGCATTACCTTTTGTGAAATAAATTCATCAAGCAAGACCACAGTTGAATACATAATCATACCACTAGCTTTGCAGACCCTGAGGCAGCAAACCCCACACAGGAAGCATGCAGGAAGTAGACACGCATGTATACAGAGGAAAAGAGACAAAACCGACCATGCCCTTCCATTGTCACTTCTCAAAAATGTTAATGCTTTCTACCCCTATTTTTTCCCCCTACAGGAAGAAAAAGGGCATGCTCAAAGGCTTCCTAAGCTCCTGTCAGTTTTATCCTGTATACAGTTTGCTGAAAATTTTACGTGTTATGTGGCAGGAATTGTAGATCAAATACGGATTTTTAATTCAGTGTACAAGTGAAAACAAAACAAAAAATTAAGATGCACATAGGTTATTTGGAAAACAGAGTTCTGGATGAGGGGGGAAAAAAAGAAATGCAGTGCAGCCAGAGCTACAGACTAGCCAGCTGGCTTCAGCAATTTATGTATCATATTAAATATGTGCCTGTGTAGATCTTGAGTGTCACCTTCATGGTTTATTTACCACAGCACAGACTCTGCTAAAGTACACTTTCCAACACTTAAAAAAACCCCAAACTTCTTCAAATGCACAAAAATTACTGAACTTGGACAGATTCAACACAAAAAAAGCCCTACAATGACACCTACTAAAGAGGCTTTATTTGCAGAATTTTTATAACATGAACTCCAAAGAAATGGATTGAGAATAGCAAGAATCTGAACCAAAGAAAGCATAAAGTAAACAGAGCCAAGCCTACTATCTCTCAGTCATGTAACTGCTGGGACAATCTCATCATACATAAACGACTTAAGTGGCTGTGTCTTTAATCTGTTTAAGTATTTTGTCATTCATAAAACTTTCAAACCAATTGCACTAGGAATGCTGACATCACAATTTGTGCCTAAATTCTCCTACTGACATACAGAGCTAGCTACTTAAGCTCTTCAACTAGTATTTAAGGATCTTAAACATAAATAGCTTTACCTACTCAGCTACTTTAGAAAAAGTGTCATTTCCATGCAGATCACCTCAAAGAATTCTTGAACCAAAACACATGATCATAGGAATCGTTCTTTGTGCAAGAAAACGTAAAGGAAGAATAATTTTCTAAGAAAACCACAAGATTTTTTCCTTCATTAAAGATTAGAATGGGTCCTAGATACAAATAAATAAAACAGTTCTATTTTTTAATTTTTATTTTTATT